GGGTGCGACGGAGGGGGGGGGGTGCCGGCCGCGCGTCTCGCGGGCGAATGGTGGCACATCGCGCTCGCGGTGGCTCACTTCCTGTGTATATATTGGTTGTGTCTTCGTTGCTGACAGGGCGAGCGGAGACGGCCTCCCCGTTTTACTGTGGTGGCCGCCTCATGGCATGTTGCGGCAGCAACAGCGGCAATTGTCGCAATGGCCTTTGTCGTGTGCATCGCGTTGGTCGTTGTTGCTGATGGTAACTCTTTCAGTGCTGTGGTGCCCCCCCTTCCCACATGCACACACACACACACACACACACACAGAGAGAGAGAGAGAGAGAGAAAGGGACATCAAGGCAGCGTGGTGTGTGGATACTCTAGCAAGATACACTCTCTGTGGGTGCGAGGAACTGCATGGGTTTCTTGCAGGCATTCCCTCTCCCCATATGTTCCTGTCGCTCATTGTGTGTTGTCGGGCTTTGGCTGCGTGCTTTAGTGGCTCAGCAGGTGCGGGGGACAGTTTCATATGTCACTCTGCCTCTCTCTCTCTTTCTCTCTCTGTGGTTTTCTTGCTTAGTGCACGTGTGACTTCAGTGTGCATCTGTGTGCGCGCCACATAATGCGCTCTCAGTCTTGTTTTCTTGGGAGGGGGGTTCCAACGGAATAAAGAGAAAAGACCTCTGTGGTGGGCGCGCCGCTCTTCGTGTTGCTACGGCGTGCTGCTGCTGTTGTTGCTATTCATGTCGTGCTCTTGCCCTGTGCTGTCTCCCTGAGACGTTCCATCTTTCGTTGTCATCTGTATTCTATTTCTTTTATTTTTGCGTGTGATTTATTTATTGACGAGGGGGGGTCTTGTAAGTGAAGCGCGCGCTATATACAAATAGGAGTAGTAAATTTCGGTGACGCATAGAAGTGCTGTCCCTTTGATAATCATTGTTTCTATTCTTGGTGCTATCCGACGTGTTGTTGCGGCACCCTGTGGGCACCACCACCAACATCATCACCATCGTCATCATCATTGTGTGGCTATCTTCCCCTTGGCACCTCGGGAGCGTGAGAGCGAGGGAGGGGTGTGAGTGAGTGAGAGAGAGGGAGAGAGCGTGTGTGTGTGTGTGTGTGTGTGTGTGTGTGTGTGTGTGTG